GCTGTGTACTCCGAACTCGAAAAAAGCGAACCAATTTCTGAAATTCTCCAGATCGGAAAACAAAGGAGTTCTTTCAAAAGTCAACGGTCGAAAAGTACATTTGTGATGAACTTTGCAGAAGGCAAGGCGTATGTATTGGTAGGGGAAAAAAAAAAAAGAATTCGGCGCAGGTAGCGCTACTAGTAATTATTACAAAGGTAAAAATAAATGCGGGACTGAAAGAAAAAAAAACCTTACAAACTACAAGGGCCTACACATATGTGGCGTGGTATATAGCAACAGAAGGAAATCCTCAAAAACTATAACTATGCATAAGTATACGCCCTTGGCCGCACCTACATGAAAAGGAAAAAAAAACACAGAGCAAAAAAGGGAGAAATAAGTAACTTTTCTACAACGCTTCGCTTAAAAATCAGCCTTCTCCACCATTCACCATTCCCATCTTCTTGAACTTGCGATGAGATCTCGCAGGAATCGGACTCGGAAAAGCAGTCACTGGAGTAGGTTCTCCCGCAGCATTGAGAACAAAGGCCTCTCCATCAATAATGACTGGCTTTACGTCCACAATATCCTCGTAAAGGGCAGGTGAAGGAGGTCGTAGGGGTGCGATCGGGGTTTCTGGTCGTCCCGAATCGGGTATCTTGTATTTATGCTCTGCCGTTTCAAGTTCCAACAAGACGATTTCGGGACTCATCGACATCGGAGTCCCGCTATAGCTGCGATCCCGCTGCTCAAGGGGAGCGATACCATTTTCGTCAACTTGCAGAGAAGAGGTTTCCTGTTCGGTATACGTCAGGCCTGGGATCCTACCGTCGAAACTATCAGTCTCATCTTCATCTTCATCGATGTTTTCGCTGCAAAGGTGAGCCAATGGATGTCCAAGCAATAAGGACACTTCCGCCGGATTAGAGGACGGTGCGGCAGGAACGGGAGGAGCGATCTCTCTGTTAGATAAGGCTTCCCGTACACCCTTGAGTTCATCCCGCAACTCCAAGAGAGCGGCATCCAACCGCTTTTCTCTTTCTCTAGATCTGACGAGTTCCTTTCGCAACTCGTCAACGACACCGTCTCTAGTCCCACTCATACTGCCCTTCAGTAGATCTCTTACCGTCCCAGCGTCTCCAAACACTCTGCCTACCTCCTCCCTCGTCACCGTCCTCATAATTCCTGTTAACTGAGACGCTAAATACGTTTGAAATCCCCTTTCCAACTGGCTTCCAAGTCCAGCAAGACCATTCTGAACCTCCCGCTTCACGTCGCCGCTTTCCAAACCACCTCTGAGCTTCTGCATCTCACCTCGAATTATCTCGCTTATTCCACTTTTGATTTCGGACCGAACGATCTCCTTCACGCCTTCCTTCACGTCGTTGATACCAGCCTCCTTAATCTCAGTAGCAAACTTTCTCAACGTATCCTCCAACATCAAAGGGAGTAAAGACTCCATCAACCTGAGATTCGTACCCTGATTCGGCGGTATACCACGCTGACCAGAAGATCCAGGAGCATTTGAAGTCCCGTTCATGACAGGACTTTGTACAGGAGAATCCGATCGATTATCGTGCAGCTGTTGCCACTGCGTATGCAAAGACCGAGCGTACTCTAAAGTCTTCGTGTTTGAGGCGATAGACGGACTCGATCGCATCGAGGTCGGTGAAGGAATCTGCTGTGGAGGATTAACACTGGCTGGAGATGCCTTTGCAAGGTTAGACACAGGAACCGACGGCCTCGACGTCGTTGATGGTGCACGAACTATTGATGAAATCCCAATAGGAGGCCTTGGCGGTAAAACCTGGTTGAATAAAACCGCGATAAGAATCGACGCTTCAGTGAGTTTTCGAGATATCAACTTACAGTCGGTGGTGGTGGTCTGTTCCCCAAAGTTGACGACGGCTGCATCGGTCGCTCAACAGGAGAAACCTGCAAAAAAAACAAACAAAAAACGAGTCAGTGCCGTGGGGGACAGGATAATCAAAGAGAACCCTAATTACACTATCGACTGCCATATTATCATTATCATCATCTCCAACACTCTGGCCACTACGTTGCGAGCTCAGCCCCAAAACCATCGGCTTCAGCTCGTTTTCATTCGCTCTCATGAGCCTCGCAGCTTCATCTTTAGTAATATTCGAAAACGCGCTCGAAGTAGGAGAGGTCGGAACATCACCCTGATTCACGTCGTCTAAGGCGGCTTGTAGATTCCGTGAACTCGTACGACGTTTGAAGCGTGAGGGAGCAGAATGAAGGATCTCTACATCGGGGTCAGGCGACGGCTCCCTTTTGATAGGTTTGTAAGGAATAGTAGGTGTGAACGGAGGCGGCTCAGGATCAAATATTTCCGAGTCAATAACAGTAGAAGCAGAACCAACGTGAGTTAGCGAAGACTTCAGAGTCCGCTTTGCAGGACCCTCTTTCTCCAATGGCGGGCCCGGCCGCTTATCACCGACTGACCTGTTATCGCTGGAGCTACTATTTATTGCCGATGCCACCCAAGCGGCGCCAGACATCGAAGTCCGGGTTGATATGGTATCACCGTTCTGGCCGACGCCTGCTGGCAACTTTACACCAGCTGCTTTGATGATCTGCATAATATCGTCTTGTGCAGTTCTGCCTCTAGATTTCGAAACTGGGCTAGACACAGTGCGCGAAGCTGAGGCGGTTGATGGTGGCTGGTTTTGATGTATGAGTGGTGCAGAGGATGCGCTGAGAGGTTTATTCGAAGGGGGAACGTTGGCTACGTTGGACGAGTTTGTCGATGAAAGCGGTAGACACGAAACAGGCAGCGGGTTTGGGGTGCTGTCAAAGCTTGGAATGGCCGCTAATGCTTTGTGCCTTAGAGTCCAAGCATCAATGCCTCCCTCGATTACGGGTGTGCCCTCGTTCTCCCAGTACCATTCACCGCCCTTTTCTTTCAAACCTTGCATGAGCTCTTGAGCCGAAATGCCATTTTGTATCTCTTCTTCAGTCAGTGAGAATCCCCTATGCCCTTTGAGTGCCCATGAACGCCAACCTAAGGGAACGTCAGTGGTCTATAAGGAAGTGATTCGATGACAAGGTCGCACCTAGGGCGACCACATCCTTGTCGTATTCCTCTTCCCCATACTCTGTCCAGAATTCCTTGACCTGGGCCGGTTTCGAAATAAACCATTTGAGCCGATACCGTACTAACGCTCTATCAAACGTTGGACACCTCCATTTTCTGTCCACGCCCTTCGATTTTATCTTGGCACCGGAATTAGGGTCCCAGTCGACCGCACCCAGAGCCGCTTGAGCCGAGTCTAAGAGCTGTTTACACAATCTTGAGACGTGTAGAATCCCAAACTTGTACTCTACCCATTCCACCTGTCGATTTGCGGCCGAGAGCACCAACTTTAACGATAACCACTGGAACCGGGCGAGAAACATGAGAGGAATTCTGTATCCATGGGGCAGTACTGTTTTGGTGCCATCCATGCTGACAATTTGACAGAAAGGCTGATTGTTCTTCGCGCTCTTTGGAGGGACATCAAAAGCGTAAGCGATTAAATGATGGATGATTTTGGTATCGTTCCAATCCTTGGGTGTGAAGTAGTTGAGTTCTGCGGGATGCTGCCAACCATACGAAGGTTTTGGGGTAATCTGCTGAGCAACTTCCTCTTGCTTGACGATTTGTGACTCGGCTCCAGCGGTTTGAACCGAATTCTCTTCCTCCTTCGTTCCACCACTTCCAATCTTCTTCTTCGTAGACCTGACTTGCCTAACTGACTTTCTCCTTTCACTTACGCAGTCCGGAGAGCCCATTTTCAACTTTTCCTGCGGGAGAAATTTGCTGCTGCTAGGTCAAGCTAGAATCTGACCTGAGAACTAGAGAGATTATGAGATCTCAAACCCAGTACGCACTCGAATCCTCCACCAAAACTTCAGAAACTCCACCAAAACAGACCCTACAGCCCAAAACTTGATGAGATGCAGCCAGTCAAATGAGGGGAACAAGGAGGACGGGTGAGGGGATCACGGAGCAGGACAAGTGAGGGAAAAAGTTCAAAGTCGAGCTCGTCACTAGTGACCACGTGCTCTCAGATCTCAGGGCCGATTGTCTCGAAGGTCTTGTCATCCTCCGCAATCGTTTCTTTGCGATAAAATTTTATCTTTATCGTGGATCATAACTATATCTACAACACTACGGTGAATGCGTCCAGCACTGAGAATCGCCCACGACGACTCATGTGAAGACTCGAGCTTCCCATCATCTTACACTCTGACCCATTTCAGAACCGAATTGGGACTAGTCAAAGCTGCAGCTTTTTGGATGAGAAGCTTTCAGAGCTTCAAGCTTGAGGTGCCAGGGCGTAGCGCGTTCGGATCGGAGCGGCAGCGTTGGTTGTTCAGAGTCGAGTGCTTGTCGTATGATTTCCCAACTCCGCGAGACAGCCTGTAGGCATAGGCCTCATCCATGGAATTGCCTTCTAGTGCATGCCAGTTTGGCCTAAGCACGTCGGGGGAAATGACTGGTAAAACATCGGCACCCACAGGTGAAAAACGATTTGAGGAGGCTGCGGCAAGATCATTGCTATAACGACACTGACATATGCATCGTGCACCCCTCGATCCGAGTAGATAGCCTACAATCATGATTGAAGAGAGACACTTGCCTGAGGAAAATACTGTTAGTAGAACATTACGCATAAAGGCATTCCGCAAGACGCACCATCTGGTAACCTCTCCATGCAAAATATCCTTGCTAGTGATTTTTCACCCCAGCACTTCTACCCAATAGTTAATCTTGCTATCTAATTTCAGTAAACCCTGTGGCTTTTAGTTCTCCAGATTCATATCGTGGTCTTGTTGGGCCAGGACAGCACTTGGTTCCACACGTTTGGTGATGGCAGCTTGACAATGACAATAAGTGGGGGAGTGGGGTCGGAGTCGGAGTCGGAGTCGGGGTCGGGTTTGATCGGGTGACAGCACCCGATATCACATCAAAATAACCCTATACATGATGTACACTTCATTAATTTCTAAGTGGCCTTATGGTCTAGTAGTATGATTCTCGCTTTGGGTAAAGCTCCTGCGAGAGGTCCTGGGTTCAATTCCCAGTGAGGCCCCTTCTGATCGTTTTCTGATCATCTTTTTTCCCAGAACGATCCGGGTTAGAGAAGTATACGAGGCGAGGAGCTGCAGTTCTTGGTGCGCAGAAATAAGATTTGCAATTGATGACTCTCCACCGACATACTACATAACCTATTGACAACTGGAAGAACTCGTCGATACCAACTGTTCGCAATCAGAGGGAACGCACGTCGAATCGACATAGTTATCAGCGTTCACACCTAGGCCTCGACTTGCAAACGACTTCCATAACAAACACCTATTAACACCCCCATACCTATTCTGGTCGGCCTGAATCCACGGATCACGTCCGGTGACTAGGATAGGATTACAAGGTTGGATAGCGAGGGCGTCAACCAGAAGGCGTAGGAAAATGACGTTCCCTTCATTGGTGGTAGCATCCGTTCGAGCGTTCGCTGACCAGCCGTGGGCATCGACCAGGTCAGCGTAAACGTTGTGAAGTGTCAATGTGGTGCTTGTCACTTACCAGACCTACAAGAGAGGAAACACAGTGGAGGGTCAGAAATCTATTCTACCCTTTTCGATTTGTACCACGTCGAAAGCGATTTCCCACCTCTCCAATATCTATAAACTCGGATATTTGTATCAGCCACTCAAGTACGAAGGAAATACCGGCGCGATGCGACTTACCATGAACCTCATTTAATACAACAATCGACGAATACCTGAGTGGATTGGTCGTAGGGGAAGTAGAATACGGATACCTCCGAATCTGTCTCCCCTCCCCAGGTTTCTGCGGGCCCCAATTCATAACCCACACGCCCATACCACCAGCTTCAAGAGTCTGAAGACATGTTGCGGTTCCTCCCCCTGTCAATCGGCTGGTTAGATCGTGTGTCATCTCATGAATAGGTATATCATTCTCCATAGCGCCATCGCGAGTAGGCTTGGCAAGGGGATTGATCAGAAAACAAAAAAAAAATTCCCTTATAGTAGGATCGTAAACTGGATCTTACCCAAGTTAAATCCCAGACGAACATCCTGCACAATCCCGACTGACCGCTACAAGATTCAAGGAGCGACTCGATTCAGTAAAAACGCGATGCACACAACGGAAGAAAAAAACGTGGAGGGGGGAGGGGGGAGGGAGGGGAAAAAAGAAAGAAAGAAACCGACTCTGGAGGGGTAGCAAAGTCCGCATTATCAGTCCCGTCTGAATCTTGCACACTAACAAGAACTCTGTCATTTCCGTCTCCCCCTTTCCAAAATTATCATCTTGAAAATTAAACGAAAGTTCGGTAAACCCATATTGGTGAAGGACATCGTGGTAAGAATTGAGCACGTAAAAGTGCGACCGGCATCGATATTGGCGGCAAGTTTGGCTTGTGAATAGATGTCATAGTCGGTTTGGAAGTTTTCTTCGGTGGTAGTACCTGATTCTGAGCCTTTGTAGGCTAAAACGTTGTTGCCTCTTTTCTTTCATATCAGTAACGCCACCAGGAACGACAAGAAGGAGGGAGGGGGGTTAGCGAAACTCAGGAACTCACGCAGTTACTACGGTTCCTCCACTATGCCATCCTTGCGGAGAGGAGGCAGTATTCTGCGGGTCAACCAGCGTCTCGGCTCCGTCGTATAGAGTGTATTTCCAGACCGGTAGAACTTTGTACTAGAAGACAATTGTTACCCAGGAGCAAAAGTGAAATGTTGGGGAGTACATATCGAAATCCACCTACCGTAGCTTTAGCCACAAAATCAGTCACGGACAGGAGCTCACCAGAGTGGGCATCCGCGTAGGCCTCATACCAAGTCCCGGCTTTTTCGTTTTGAACCTGAAAGACGTGAGCAAGGGCAACTTTTTCGTCTTGAAGGGCTAAATAACCGAGACTTGGCTCGATTCCGTTGCGTTTGCCTTGAAGGGAATCCTCGATCTTTGGAATGACGGAATTTACGTCGACAGTAGGCTTTGAAGCCGCGGTATTCTCTGTGTAAAGGCCGAGAAATATAAGACCTATTTTTTTTTTTGCATCAGAAGAGGGGACAGGTACCGGTGTTAACGAACGACTGTCCAAAAGCAACAGCTTTGTTGTCCTTGAACGCTACGTTTGCTATAGCGTTAATGAAGGGAATCCCATCCTGTTGTTCAAAGTGTTCAAGAGATTCCAAGGACTCAGGGTACGGAAAAGCTCACATAGATTTGCTTAACATATCCAAACTATCCAACATCAGTTTCATAACCGGATCTGAAGACCACTTTATTAGAGGAGCCGATGTTCATCTGCAACGACACGAAAGAGACAGTCTTGTTGTCGATACTGGCGGTTCCGAATGGTGGGGGTAATTCTAAACTGTTTCCGTACGTCTAGATATGTTTATGAGCTTTTCAGTTGGTCGTGTCCCGTCGGAACCGTCGTTTGAGCGAACATACCTCGTATATGGACTTGGGATGGAAGGCCTCCACTTTCAAATTGTGACCTATGTGTCTGACGTGATGCGTAGAGTGTTTAGAGGACGCGGGCCAAGGAGCGGCGTCAACACGCGACGCAGACAGGACAGCTAGGAGAACAGCTAAGGAGAGCCGTTTGAAGTGAACCATATTTGAAGGAACTAGAGGAACTGCTGGTTTTTACAGAGATACTAGAATCCTGGAACGACGAGAGCCGTATCGACCAGCTTTTATTTTAGAGGGGGGCTCTAGAAATGAGTACTGAGCCCGAAAATCTAGCATATCAATTCTCAACCACCCTTTTTCAGAAGCTCTTGTTGATAAAACAAAAAAACCCCGAGTTTTCTGAGCTAAATTAAAGACTTTTTGGTGTGTGGGGACCCGACTAGAGCTGCAATAGAGTTTCTTCTTACAATATCATGGGGTTATCTAGAACCAAGAGATTTTGGAACTTCCAGTTGAAAGATTTAGTATAGGAACGCACGCGAATTTAATTCTATATATGATGAACATCCTTATTCCGACTTCCTGTAGCTTATCCTCCCAGGCTGGCGTGATTCTCTTGCAAATTGAACATGTTTCGAGTTCTCCCCCACCCCGGGGACTGGCTCGAGCGTTGGGCTACCGTACGGTGCAGCGGGAGAAGCATGTCGTGTCGTGCCATGGGAACATCATGATTCCCGAAACGCGCAGTTGATATGTAATGATTGTCATTCACGATACTACATGCAGCTTTGACCGGCAGTACTTTGAGCCATTGGAGCGTGTGGGGATGTCAAGAATGTTTCCTTTTGATGGAAAGTAATCAGTAAGCACACAAGTTTTTTTTTTCTTCAAGAAAGAATGACATGGCACTGTACGAGAGGATCCGGACGCGTTCATGACCATTTTCAGCCCACCCGCCAGCTTGATGATACACATCGTTTGTTCCCTTTGAGAGAGGCGATTCCGCGATTCATGGAAAACACCCGGTCATGAATGTTGTGACTCGAATGGGTCATGAGAAGCCAGCTTGAAATGAATTAAACAGGCGTATCAGACGGTTGCAATCCTACCACATTCAGCATTCGTTTTACTGAGCACGCAGCTTAGTAGTAAGAGCTTCACTTGGCAGAGGAGTAAATCGGGAGGAAGGGGGGGCTAGTGAGCAGGTACCGGATAGACTTTTCTTCATCCATACTTGTCTCATTTACCGGATCATACAAAGAGAGCTTATGTGTGCGGGGAGAGTTCGGAAAATCGAGGCGGGGTTTGATAGATGCTGCGCAAAGTTGAAATGAGGACTTCATTCCCGGGGTTCTATATCGGTCAGGTCCAGTTCCTAGTGAACTTGAAGAAAGAAAGTAGAAGCATTGCACCGGGATTTGGTGACCGGCAAACGTTTCAGTTACCTCGTTGTAACGGGGCGACAACGGGGTGCAAACAGGAACTGCAGGTCTAGAGTCGACAGAAATTTAAGCTGGTAGCAAAAAAGAGGATTTCAAAAGCGTACTCATGAGATTGGAATCCGAGTTTGTATTTGACAGGCTTGATGCACGGGAACCAGGAGGAGGAGACCCGTGGGAAAGTCAGGTAATTTCGAAACTACCAACTTATGTAAAACCATCGGACTTTGCCGGAAGTTCCTGCCGGTCGATATCATCCATACAGCATACCTTCACTTCTTACCACCATCTACTACGACATGTTGTATGTTTCTGGGTCGTCGTAGCCTCTTCGATACGTCGGAGTGTCCGCCGTTTGGGGCCTGAGGCCCTGAATCTACGGTAAGTTTTATCAGCTATGACTCGGATCTGTCATTTCATGTAATGGAATCATGAAATCAACCCGCTCCTTGCTTATTCCGATCTTCTGGTTCAGGATTCCATGTCTTCCATACGGGGAGTAGAATGTCTTGGATCTCTGGTAGCCTTGGGGTTCTGGTCTGCAGAGGTCGTGATCAGCGTGTCAAACACGGAGGGTTGGCGAATGATAGGACACATGAGAGAGAGGGAGTTTTGCTCCAGGAGTTCATCTAATACGCCTCCGATGCTTCGTTTACTCGCAGGACGCGCTGTGCCTTCAGTACGCTCCGCCTTTTGCAGCGGAAAGATCCCTCTGGAACTGACAGTGTTTCCTGGAAGGTGAAACGCGAAAAATAAATGAAATCATGAGCCGCACTTGCACTAACAGTGCGTCAGCTCCAAATAATGGGTGAGCTTCGATCCATTTGTTCGCCAACTTGTAACTGACTTGGCTGCAATGATTGTTTGGCTTCTGGAAGGTTCCCGTTGAGATGTTCCGGCTCGTGCTAGTAACGGCCTCCCTGTCATTTAGCCGTGTAGCTGGATTTGGATTAGAGCCACCCAGCTTACATTATCCCCGTACTGAACTGCTTTCTATCGCCATGTACGTGCATGTCATATCCCGGTAGACTGTGGTTGTTCAGTCCTTTATGCAGCTGTTCGGATATTTGTGGGCCCCATTAGATCTGAGCAAGACGTTGCTCGATGGATTGAACCCTGCGTGAATCGTCATTTCACTGGGTCACCGATTTGTTCCAAAAATTCACCCCAACTCCAAGCTTGCCTTTTCTAGACGTGCTTTCTACTT